GGCTGACATTTTCTGGGCGTCTTCCTTGTGCTGATGCTGCGTCATGGCGGCTCACTCAGCATCTCCATCAGACGTCCTCTGGCCATCAGACACTGCCCCAAAGCCAGCCCCCCCAAGCCATCCTGGCCTCCACTCTCAGTGGCCCTCACCTCCGTCCTTCCGTCTCAGGCCCGAACCCTGAGTCCCGCTTGACTCCTCTCTCCCAGCCCATGTGTAGTCCTTCTGCAGGTCCCTTTGGCTCCACCTTGCAGACGCTTCCAGAATAGACCACTTCTCCCCACCCCACCGCTCCCACACTCGCCCCAGACGTCACCATCCTCTGGCCCTCTGAGTAGCCTCCTGCTCATGCAGTCTGTTCTCAACACCAAAGCCAGAGAGAGGCATTTCACATGTAGGTGGGATCATGTGCTTGAACCCTCCCAAGTCCTCAGAGGCCCCAACATGATGTGCTCTGCGTGGTGCTCCCCTCTGGCCTCCTCGCCAGCCACACAGCCACTCCTCTTCGGTTCCTCGCATCTGCCTCAGGGCCTTTGCTTCTGCTGTTCCCTGGCTCACCTGCTTCCCCAGATTCCACATGACTAGTACTCCCCCAAGCCTACTTGAAATCTTTCCAAGAAGATGTCACCTTCTCAGGGAGACCTTCCTAACCACCCTCTTTAAAACTGCCGGGCCCCACCTCTCACACCCCACACCTCCATGCTTTATCTCCTCCACTGCACTTGTCACCATCTGACGTTTTGTGTGTGTTACTTTATTGTCCATGCGCCCCTCCCCGCTTCATCAGACCGTAAGTACCATGAAGGCAGGAATGAATGGATGTTTTGTTCACAAGAGTCTCAGGATTGGTAACAATTCCTGGTATGTAGTAGCTGTTCAATAAATAATTATCAAATGAATGACCAGAGCCAAAGCAAGGAATTATATAACTTAATCGCCCTCATACAGCCTGCTAGTGGTAGCGCCCGAATTTAAACCTGGGTTTGTCTGAATTTTAATTCGAGGGGTGGGGGGCTGGAGGGTAGGGAAGGAACCTGGAGGACAAAAGAACACATACAGCCTCGCCACAGGGAGGGGTGGAGGGGAGCTTTGCAGTTAGGGAAGAAAGGAGCAATGTGGTCGTGGAGTTTGTGCACTTGGCGACACCAGGAAGGGCTGCATGCTTCGGAGCCAGTCCCGGCCTCTGTCCCGTGGGCCGGAAGCGTTGGAATGTGGATCGGTAAGTGCCTTCTGCTGAGGTTCCAGGACTGCAGCCCTTGCTCGCTCGCTCGCTGCACACCAGCCTCTGGGCAAGTGTCCGTTTCCTCCTGGCCTGACTCCTGCTTCCCCCTGCCATCCGCTTCTCTGGCACCAGCAGGAAGTTCTGGAAGGCCTGCTTGGCAGTCTGCCTGCCCAGCCTGAAGCTCCCAGCTCCCGAGACGGCTGTGCCCCTTCTCCATCCCCCACCCCACCCCAAGCAGGCCAGCATCCCTGGACGGCCATCTCCCTCTTCTCCTGGCACCAGTTGTACGGGGACAGCCCCAGATGGCTCTCTGGCCTGGGGACAAAGGCCACACTGTGCCCAGCCCTGGGCTGGCCTGAGGCTGGGTCACACTGAGCCCTTCTGTCCCCATATGGGGGTGGGGACAGATAGCACAAGGTGACAGGCCATTTTCCTTCCCCCTCGACCCCCAAATCTGAGGAGCTGACTCTCCCGAGGGAAAAGCGACAGAGGCATCTTGTGTCGTGAGCTAGGGAACAACAGGCCATTTACTGCCCAGGCTGCCCTGTCACACCCAAGACCCTGCTGGGTTCAATGCCCCAATTGTCCCCAGCAGAGAGAGGCAGCCACTCTCTGCTCTGGTCACCACCCCTGCCACCTGCTCCCCATCACCCTCCGGAAGTCCATCCCTAGTCTGACCTCCATCGCTACTGCAACAGTGACAGCCACTTCCTCTTGGTCTCTTCTCAGGCCACTGGCAAGCAGCTGGTCCCCATCCCTCGACATTGCTTGCACCGCATTCCTGCCTGAGTCAGCTGTCCTGTTCCATCCCTCTGGCTCCCTGTCCCACCTTCCCCCTGCCCAACCCAAGCTAGTGGCCCTTTCTAACTGAACGTGAGGAGAGCAGGTACGATTCAGGGCCAGGTCTACTTTATCTTGCGAAAATTGAGGGCCTCTCTCCCAAAGGCTTTTAATGAGCTCCCCTGCCCCTCCTACACAGACAAGAGCAAGGGCATGAGATTTATGGTGGCAACTGGTGCATTCCTGAGTCACAAACCCATCACGCCATGCCATAAATCCCAGGCTGCAGGATGGCTTTATGGGGGTTCCCTGTTTTTAGAAGGGGGCATGGCTGGCCCTTCTTGGCAGAGCTCAGACCTCAGGGAGCCAAGTGCATGGCCCCCCACCCCCAATGGATAACCATGGTCAAGCCTGGGGCATCAGTTTGTGCCAGGCAGACATTTCCTCCCTTTCTCGGGGGTTCTCCTGCATCACTCCAAGTGCTGTCCACCCTCCAGCACCTCCCCAGCTCTGAGGAGTCCCTATCTCAGCCAGTGGGGCAGCCTGGAAAGCCAGGCAGGTTACTATCCCTTACCTGGACCTCAGGTGCTTCCCCACCATGGCTCATGTCCAGATCACTGGGGATGCTTTTTAAGGCTGCATTTTCCCGGTTGCCATCCGCAGAGCCTCAGTTCCAGGATCTGAGGGTGAAACCCAGGTATCTGAGTTTTTTATAAAGCTTCTTGGTGGTGCTGATGATCTGCTGACCTTGTAAAGAACTGACCCACATGATGGAGACTTTTCCACTCTCCTGTCATGCTGGGAAATGTGAGCCAGCAGGCAGGGTGTGTCCAGGTGCTCTTGTCACGGGAACCCCTATGATTCCCCAAGGCTGGCTGCACACTGTGAGGCAGGTGGCTGCCCTCTGCGAGCTTCCTGTCTGAGGATCCTGCAGCCGCAGGCCCGAGACCCTGCGCAGAGCCACGCGGCGGACGAGGTCGGCTCGCAGGAACGAGCTTCCAGGGTGGGGGACTGGGAGGTCCGTGGCTGGCGGGCTTTGCCGGGGCAGCTGGTAGGAGAGCCCTCAGCTACCTCCTCATCAGATGGGGCCTCACCAGCCCTCGAGTTCCCTGAGAGTAGGGACCACCCTTGACTCAGTGTAACCCCATTGTCTAGCACAAAGCCTGGCACTTAGTGACTAATCAGTCCTCGTTTGTGGAGCTGAACCGAGCAAGACTCCAGGGCCCACTGACAGGGAAGCTGAGCTGGCCGTGCAGACCCAAGGCCTGTATCCGGAGAGGCACACGCCTGAAGAAGGAAACCTGGCCATTCCTAGTCTCAGGACTCAGAGGACCTGGGGGGCCAACCTTAGGTGTATGTGGGGGCAGCCAGGAACATGCAGGCCCAAGGAAAGGACATTTTTCAGAGTTCTTATTGGTGAGGACGGAAAGATGTGATCGTTAAGCAAAGCAAACATGTTACTGACCCATAATCCCTTAAACCGGAAGGATTCAGGAGGGGCCTGGTTACCTTGGCAACTGAGTAGTGGCCAGTGACAGGGCTGAGAGCATCCTCTGGGAATGGGCTGTGCCTGGTGTTTGGGTAAATGCTGGGGGAGGGTGCAAGGTGGTCCCTTCCATCACAGGACTGGCCTGATGCCTTCTGGGCAGGTGTGGGTGGGCACCCTCGTGGGAACTCCTGGTCCCGGCCCCACTGCAGCTGAGGGAGATGTGAGCAGAGCACGGTGAGGGGGCGGCCACCGTGGGAGCTTATGAAACCATGGAGGGGAGGAGGGATAGCCCCGCTCTGGGCTTCAGAGCAGAGCAGAGAAGGAAGGGTCTGTGGGAAGAAGCAGTTGCACACGTCTCATTGGGAGGCCAGCAGGGTGTCCCCTCACTCAGAGGGCAGGAGGGCTGAGGAGCCGCAGGGAGAGAACCCCTTCTGGCTGGGTAAGTGGCCTTCCCCTCCCCTGCTATGCTCCCTGCAGTGGACGCCCTTCCTGCTTGGGGCTCCTCAGGGACCTCTCTGTTTCCAACCCACTTCTGTGTTTCCCCTGAGACCTTCAGCTGCTCCTGACCTCCCACTTTTCAGCTGGGGAGAGGGGCTGGGCCAGCTCAGATGCACACACCTCATCCCTCATTTTTTTGCTCTTTTTCCCTGTCTCCTGGGGACCCAGGATGAGCCAGAGAGGGACCTCCAGGTGTTGGTATTAAGATGAGTGGAGTTTGGACCAGACTCTGTCACGAGGGTGTAAGCCAGGCTGATACTTAGCTTACAGGCATCAATCAATGAGGCTTACTGGCTGCCGACGTTCAAGTGCTCACATACAAGTTGGTCAAGAACTGCTGGCTCGAGGACCACCGGGTTCTGGTGCCCTATCTGCCACACAGCCTTCCTTCCAGACTCCCTAGACCCCTGGCATTTAAAAGGTTACCTGGCCCTGGCCAGTTTGGCTCAGCGGTTAGAGCGTCTGCCTGCGGTCTGGAGAGACCCGGGTTCGGTTCCTGCTAAGGGCACGTACCTCGGTTGCAGTTTGTCCCCGGCCCTGGTTGGTCGTGCGGGTGGCAGCCACTCGAGGTGTCCCTTCACGTCGATGTTTCTCTCTCTCTCTCCCTTCCTCTCTCTCCCTCCCACTCTATCTGTACAAAAAATGGAAAAATATCCTCGGGTGAGGATAAAAAATAAAAAAAAAGTTACCTTCTGGCCCTGGGGAGGCCTCCAGGATCCCCTTGGCATATCATGCCGATGTTAGGAGCACTGCTTTATGGTTCTGACTGATGTAGATTGTGACTATTCCCCCAGGGCAGGGAATCCTGGGGAATTCCCGGGGAGGGAGAGGGCCGGGAGCCCCAGCTTGGTGGAGAAGACTCAGCCCTGGCTCCCGAGCGAAGGGCTGCAGAGCCTGATGGGAAGACGAAGACCAAGACCCCGGAGTCCCTTCTGGTGGCGACGGGCCCCTGTTGCCTTGTTCTCATGGCTGCTCTTCTCGCTTGTCCCCTCTCAGGCCCTGCTGTTGGTCCCTGCGGATCATGAACAAGATGAAGAACTTTAAACGCCGCTTCTCCCTGTCTGTGCCCCGCACCGAGACCATCGAGGAGTCCTTGACGGAGTTCACAGAGCACTACAGCCAGCTCCACAGCTGGCACAATGAGGGTGAGGGTCTGCGCGTGCCCGCTTGGCATTGCCCTGAAGCCCTGCTTGCCCTCTACCCACACCGGCTGCTGGCCTTGGGGGAGGGCAGAGGGAGGACGAGACTTCCTTCCCTCCCTCTGGGGCAGAGAGGCAGGGAGGGGAGCTGATGCCTCTCCCTCTCAGACTTGCAGCTTGGTCCTCTTGGCAGAGACCCCCAGCCCGAGTCCAGCACCTCCTCCCCCACAGGCAGTGGGGAGGAGCCCAGGCCACCGTCCCCTGGCATGCAGCACCGGCGGCAGAACCAGCGCCGCTTCTCCGTGGAGGTAAGGGGCTCTGGGCGCGTCCCGGGGACCTCACACGATACAGCCACCACTCTGTGCCCAGGAGGCTGGTGACCTTGCAGCCAGTCTTCATGGGTTCAAGGTCCAGCTGTGCCATTGATTAGCTCTGTGACCTTGAGCAAGTTCCTCAACCTCTGTATAGCAGTCGCCTTGTGTTAAAATGGTCATCGTGAAGATTAGATGAGTTCATATATGCCAAGTGCTTGGAACATTCCTGGTACATAGCAAGGGCTAGACAACTCAACTGTTGTTCTTATGACGCATATACACGTACCCACGTATATGAAAAATATGCTTATAGGATTGTAGTGTCTGCAGTTTAACGATTGTGATCCTGGCCCAGGGCGGGGAAGGGGCTTTCACAGGTCACATAGCAGCCAAGCCCTGGCTGTTCATGTATGTCCCTGAGTACATCACTGAATGAGCCTGGGGTCACAGCCCATGTTCAGCCCTGCTGGAGCTGCTCTACAGAGAAAGCCGGCCCAGGGTGAGAGGCAAGGGTCTCACAGCACCAGCTACCCTGGAGCAAACACTGGTGTCCGTGTCTCATCCTGGCCACTGCAGGACATCAGTAAGAGGCTCTCTCTGCCCATGGACATCCGCCTGCCCCAGGAATTCCTGCAGAAACTGCAGCTGGAGAGCCCAGACCTGCCCAAACCGCTCAGCCGCATGTCCCGCCGAGCATCCTTGGTGAGTCCCAAGAGGGTCAGAGACAACCAGGGTGGACCATCTCCCAAACATGGTCGCATACACATCAGTGCTGTTTGGCCTGTTCCGGCTGAGGCATGCAGCAGTTTCCAGGGACGTTCCTAGGCCTCTGGCGCCACCTGTTGGTCGTAGCAGATTCATATAGTCTCATGTCCTTGGTCAACATTCACTCCATAGATGGGTCCCACCCCGGCTGACGCTGAGCCCTAAGCCTCCTCTGGGTCCCAGGGTCTCCACTATGGTGAGATCAATAGACCAGCTGATACATGCGTCCAGTCCTGGGTGCCTATCGGATTTCCTTGGGAGCATCTTCCAAAACACAGACTCTGGTTCCCACTCTAGATATCCATAGAATCAGACTCGGGGTGGTGGGGCCCAGGAATCTGTATTGTTAAGGGTTGGGTGTCCTGAGCTAGAGGAAGTATGCTGATGAGAGAGGCTATTGGGGTGGTGGGTTCTAAACTGGACATTTGAGGTACAGTGGAGAAAAAGACACAGTTCCTGGGGCCAGTAGTCTGAGCAAGACAGACAGGTAATGAAGGGGTGCTGAGGCGATCCCAGATGCTACAGCCCGGGGCTCCACGCCCTCCACTGCCAGAGGAGGAGGGAGCTCACCCTTCCAAAGTCGTCTTCCTTCGTCACAGGGAGAGAGGGTTTGTGGCTGTCCTCACTGCTGCTAGCCTGTGTTCTCTCTGCCTGAGGGGTCGCATCACCCTTCCTCCTGGAAGCTGGAGCCGGGGAGGTGTAGTCTCGGGGTGCTGGGCCTTCACGCTCACAGGACCCTGTGTCTCTTCCTCTCAGTCAGATATCGGCTTTGGGAAACTGGAAACATATGTGAAACTGGACAAACTGGGGGAGGTAAGAGGCTGAGTTTGGTCTTCTCAGGGAAGCCAGGCAGGAAGGTTAGGAGGGACAGGGTCTTCCCCAGCCCTCCCTGCCCTGCCCCCTCCCTGCCCTGCCCCCTCACTGCACCTGCCCCAGGGACGCACACCATCCTGGCTGGGCAGTCAGCCTCAGCCTCTGGCAGGTCTGAGGTGAGCCAGGTGCTGAAGGCGGCCGTGAGGATGGAGTTGCCCATAGGCTCTGGGGAGGATCCAGTATCTTTATTCATGCAAGTGTTTCTTGTCTGAATTTGAATCCCCACTTGAGCATGTACTAGCTCTGTGGCCTTGGGCGCGGGATGTGATCTCTCTGTGCCCCAGGTTCTCCTGTCAGATGGAGATCGTAACTGTTCTACCTCAGCGCTGTTGTGAGGACTGAAGAGGTTACTATAATAAGCTTTTGTACAGCACTTAGACAGTGCCTGGCTTGCAGTTACGTACATCAGCTATTTCTGTTATCCTTGCACCAGGCTTTCTGTTCGAGGCTGGGGGTGGGTGACGGTTTACAGAGAGGAGCAAGATGGCCCTTTCCCTGCAGAAACCCAGAGACCTACACATATGCATCGATCTCAGGAAGAAGAATCTGGCGTTGTGATAGAGGGGCGCCTGGCCTGCTGGGAGCCAGGGGAAGGACAGTGCCCTCTGACTGGGAGGAGCTAGGGACAGCTTCACAGAGACACGAAGGGAAAAGGGGGGGAAGGACACTCCAACCAAAGTCACAGCCCCAACAGAGGCACAAAGAGGGGGGCACTGGACAAAGGAGAGCAGGACCTGAGTGTTGCTGGGGCTAGTGGGGTTTTTATTCCTCCAGGGCACCTATGCCACAGTCTTCAAAGGGCGCAGCAAACTGACGGAAAACCTCGTGGCCTTGAAGGAGATCCGGCTGGAGCATGAGGAGGGGGCCCCCTGCACTGCCATCCGAGAGGGTACAGCATCCTAGGGTCCTGAACTCCTGAGGGCTCTTGGGAGGAGTGGCTCATTGACCAGAGCCCTGGTGGGAGCCTGGGTGTGGAGGGTTATTGCAGGAGTGGGGACTCCGGGGGTTGATCTTAGGAAGAGAGGGTGTGAGGGCATGTGGGGCCCAGGGACCCAGGTGGGCCTGTCTCCCCACAGTGTCTCTACTGAAGAACCTGAAGCACGCCAATATTGTCACCCTGCATGACCTCATTCATACGGAGCGGTCTCTCACCCTAGTGTTTGAATACCTGGTGAGTTGAGAGCTTCTTCCCATGGTGGTGGGGGCAGGGAGGGGTCCCAGGCCTTGTTCTAGAATCAGGTTCTCGATGTTCCCAGGCAGGAGTGGGCCAAGGCCCAGGCCTAGGGGCAGCTTGGAGCCAGGAACCTATCCCACTCCTGGGCTTGGGCCCTACCCAAGTAGGGGCTCCCAGCCATGGGTTGGGACAGGGTGGGGCTGAGCCAGCTCTGTGTTCCAGGACAGTGACCTGAAGCAGTATCTGGACCACTGTGGAAACCTCATGAGCATGCACAATGTCAAGGTGAGAGGCTCTGCGGCAGGGACCCCGCACGCAGGCCCCCACCTGTTCTCAAGCCCAGTATGGGAACTCACTCTCACCACCAGGGCGCTGGCTGCTGCAGGTGCTCACACCTTCAGATGTAGGGCGGAAGGAAGGGGGCTGAGCGCCTTGCTCCACCGCATAGAGCGCCTTGCCACCATCTAGCTGTTAATATAACCACCACTACCACCACGCCCCCCCCCCCCCCCCCCGCCAATTCTGAGCACCAGTTTTTCCATCTGTCAGACGGAAGCATGAGTTACCTGCCAGGATCAAAGGAGGCTTCTGGGGAAGCTCAGAGGGATGAATGACCTCCTCTGGTGTTTGTCAGAGAATCAAGCGCCTACATCCCCACATGGTGGGCTTCATGGCCCGTTGTGCCCCTCAGCTCCCAGGCTAGAGAACTGTCTGGCCCCCCATCCTCCTGCCTCCTCTGCATACCTGTTGTCCCCTCCTGATGGGGTTCCCTGGGGTGGATGGGCTGCAGTGTGGGCAGAAGAGCCAGTAGCTCTCCAGGTACCTCAGCCCTGCCCAGTCCCTGTCCCCGTCCCAGCCATGGGGCAGAGGCACAGGGTCTCCCAGGTGGCACATGTTCCCACCTCACTGCTCCCCGTTCTCTTCCCTCCCGCCCCAGATCTTCATGTTCCAGCTGCTCCGGGGCCTCGCCTACTGCCACCGCCGCAAGATTCTGCACCGGGACCTGAAGCCCCAGAACCTGCTCATCAATGAGAGGGGGGAGCTGAAGCTGGCTGACTTTGGTGAGGACTGAGGCTGGGTGGGGTCTGACCATCTCCTCAGAATGCAGATGTCATGGCGGGAGAGGTTCAGTGACATGTCTGTCCCTAGGATTGGCCCGGGCCAAGTCAGTGCCCACGAAGACCTACTCCAATGAGGTGGTGACCCTGTGGTACAGGCCCCCCGATGTGCTGCTGGGGTCCACAGAGTACTCCACCCCCATTGATATGTGGTGAGTGAGTGTCAGGGGATCTGGGGCGGGAGGACCTTCCACACTTCCGGACCCCCTTTTGCTGCCCCAACCTCGTCTATGAAGAACTGCCCAGCCTCCTTTGATTGGAAGCCAGGGGGCATCCTGTTGGCCTGGATGTTAAAGGATGAAGTCTGAACCACACTGGGCTTTCTTGGCTGTAAACAGACCCTCCAAGCCATACTTCTGAAAATTCCCCCAGGGGTCCCCAGGGGCTTACCAGGGGACAGGAGGGCCCCCACAGTGAAGAGGATTCTTCCCACGCATCGGTTCTACTGAAAATTTGGAAAGAATATATTATATAAAAAATTAACATGGATATTATTTGTTGTAGTATGAATTTGAAAACGAAAACACAGGTTTCCAATGAATGGCCATTGCACCCTGTGCCCTGGGGTTCTTCAGGAGAATGGATTTATGCCTTCTCTCTTCCAGTGGGGGAAAGCTTTGAGACCTCATTGCTTAAAGACCTGCCACGTGGGTGCTGGCCCTGCAGACTCAAACCCTACAGAGTGAAAGGGGAGAAGTCCGAGCGTCCCCGGCCCAGAGAGGGGCTGTAGTGGGGGGCTGTGCTGTGCTAGGAGCTTCTATTGTCCTGGGCCACCCCCCCAAACGCCAGGACATATCTGAGTCACTATGGGGCAGCCCTCGGAAGGGTGGGCGCGAGCAGGCCCAGCCTGATGCGCCCCTGCCCATTGCTCCCCGCAGGGGCGTGGGCTGCATTCACTACGAGATGGCCACAGGGAGGCCCCTCTTCCCCGGCTCCACGGTCAAGGAGGAGCTGCACCTCATCTTTCGACTCCTCGGTCAGTCTCCTGCGCTCCCCCAACACGACCACCAGGGGGCGTCAGAACTCTGTCCAGCCCGAGCGTAGAAAGGGACTGGGAAGGGCGGCTGCGCCTGCTCAGCAGGGCGAAGCCCCCTGTGGCCTTGGCCATTTTCCGCTCTCACCCCTACATTGCACTACTCCACGTCGCCCTGAGTCCTGGCTCCTCACTATGCCCTCCTCATCCCCTTTTGTCTCCACAGGGACCCCTACAGAAGAGACGTGGCCCGGAGTGATGGCCCTGTCTGAGTTCCGCGCCTACAACTTCCCCCGGTACCTCCCCCAGCCGCTCATCAGCCAAGCCCCCAGGTAGCCCCGCCTCCCCACACCTCCTCTCTTGCTTGTGGTCCTGGCTGGCCCCCCTGGAGGTGGCCACACACCCCACCCTCCCCAACCCGCCCAGGCCAGGCCTGTGCAGCTCCTTCCTCCTGCAGGTTGGACTCTGATGGCATCAACCTCCTGACCAGCCTTCTCCTGGTAAGTGTGCCCTCAGCTGGTGCCGGGAACAGGCAGCCAAAGGCAGCTGAAGCCCCAAGACCCCACCCCAGCCTTCCACCTGCCTCTGTGCTCACGTGCTTATAAGTCTGCACTGTCCCTTCCTCTGCTACTGTCCACCCCGACCCCACCCAGCCCCAAGAGGGGCACCAGCTTCCCCACTGGCTTGGAGTGGGTGCGCTCAGAACTCAAACTGAAATTCACTAGCTATGTAGCTTGGGCAAATGACAGAATTTTCTGTGCTTCAGTTTTCTCACCGGCGAAGTGGGACTGATCATTCGTATTTTATAAGATGGCATGAGGCTAACTTGAGATTGTGGAACAATAGGTGCCCGTCTTGAAGTAAGCACACGATAGAGGATACTTGTGGGTGTTACATATTGATATTACTGTTATGAATGTCAGGATCGTGGTTGCTCTGGCTGCGTTTCTGTCCCAAGAGGAGACCACTCTCCTGAAGTCCTATTTTGGGGTTCTCCTGGTAGAGACTGAGCCCTGAGACGGCCTTGGATTGGGTTGGAGATGGGGCTGGCAGTTGACCCCCAGGCTTCTCAGTTTAGACTCGGGCCCCTCCCATTGTGGCCATCTAACTTAGGACAGGACTAGCACTTCCCAGAGGGGTCCTTGCAGCCCCCCAGCCAGGACCCAGGAGACTCCTGTGCTTTTCAGTATGAATCGAAGAGTCGCATATCAGCAGAGGCAGCCCTGAACCACCCCTACTTCCGGTCTCTGGGAGAGCAGGTGCACCAGCTCGAAGACAGTGAGTGTCAGGGCGGGGTGGGGAGAGGGAGCCGGGCCACCCCAGACCAGGGAAGGGGGCAGCAGGTGTGGGCGGAAGAGCCGTGACAAAAAGGCCAGAGGCCCTCCATCCAGCTGAGCAGCCTTGGGCACCCGGCTTCCCTTCCGCGGTTCTCATTTGTGAGGAAAGGGCCACTGAATCGGAGACTCTGTCTGAAAGGCCCAGTTTGGTGCCCCTGGGCCAGTCCTAACCGAAGGGGTTCCCCAGCGAGGGGGTGCTCCCAGCTCCGTGTACTCAGTGGGGGTGGGGGCCGCAGCCTGGCAGTGCAGAGCCAGCTCCACTCAGTTCTCTCCTGGTCCTCTCTCTCATCCAGCGGCCTCCATCTTCTCCCTGAAGGAGATCCACCTGCAGAAGGACCCAGGCTACCGGGGCCTGGCCTTTCAGCAGCCAGGTAGGCGCTCATGCCTCCCCACCTCCCCTCGTTAGAGGAGATCAGGACAGACTGCTCCTCCCCCTCGAGCAACAGAGATGGGGCCCATCATCCCCTTTGGTGATGAGAAGTCAGCATGGCGACCTTGACATTGGCCTCCCTACAGGGGGCCCGTGGTTTCTCTGTCTCTGGCCCAAGCTTCCTCCGCTAGTCCTCCCTCCTCCACCCCCACCCCAGGCGGAACTGGGCCCATCTGACAGAGCCCTGACAAAGGAACGTGCTCTCAAAGGGGCGTTCTCTCTGTGCCTCTGAGCTCTCTAGCCTGCACCCTGGAGAACTACTTTGTATCAAAAACAGCTGATGGCCTTGGAAGCAACAGGCACTTTCCAGGCATTATGTCATTTAATCCTTAAAACACCGTGAAGTCGATACTATCCATGCTGCCCAGCCAACCGCACAGGCTGTGAAGAGGCTCAGTCACAATTGCATGCAACTCCTAAGCAGCAGAGAGAGGACTGGAACCCAGGACTGACCGGCTCCCAAATGCCGGCTCGCTCTGTTCCCAGTTCTGAGCACGCCCTTCCCTCCAGCCTCCGCCCTGCAGTCCCATCTTGCCCTCTTTTCTCCAGGACGAGGGAAGAGCCGGCGACAGAGCATCTTCTGAGTTGCACCCACCCTCCTGTGGCCGGAGGGATGAGAGGTCGCAGCTCAACTGCCAGCAGGCTGGGCTCATGCAGCCCTCGGAGGACTGAGGAACGAGGGCAAGGTCGGCCCAGGGGACCTCTTGCAGCCCTGCTGGCCACAGCCGGGTCCTGACTCTGCTTCCCACATGCCTCCCCGGTGACCTTGGCCTGGACACCACCCTCCATCACCTGCCCTGGGAGGAGGTGAGGGGCACGGAGGGACCTGGGATGCTCTCCCATCCCTGAGTCCTCGGGCACCAGCATGGGACCCACAGGAACAGGAGACTCCAGCTGCCGTGTTGAGCGCTGTGCCCTGGCACAGGCACCACCCTGCCGCCCAGGGGCCGCCTGTCTCACCAGTTCGGTGTCCCCGTGGGCCCCTCTTTCACCTTCTCCCCTCTGAGGGCAGGAAGAGACGTGGCACCTTTTCCGGGACCCTGGAATCCCGGGTGCCAGTGTGTGTGCCAAAGCCCACCCCCCATCTGAGGGGCGGGTGTCCCCAGAGCAACAGGGAAATCGTAGCCCTGTCCTCACTTTCAACCATCGCCCCACCTGTTCCCGCGCGCCCCTCCTTGCCAGAGGCCCCCTGCTGCTGGATGCCCGAGTCCGGAGATGGGCTGGTACCGCCAGCTGCACTCCTGTGCCTCTGCTGCCCCGCCATCTCCCTGGTCTGAGTGGGGCTGCCGTGAGCTGGCAGGTGGAGCGGACCCACTGCCCTTGGGCTCTGACCCCCGCTCCTGCTGTCCACCCTTTCTCGAGAGCAGCCCCTGCTTATCACATCTGAGTGCGGAGAAGCCAGCCCTGAGCCAGGATCCTGAGGACAACCCCCAGATATGCAGGGTCACCCACACTGGTGTCAGGCTGGCCTTGGCTCCTTGGGGCTGACACAGCCTCCCTGGCCCCTCCTTCCCGGCCCCTGTGGCCCTGTCCTTGCCCCACCCGATCCTGGCAGCACCTCCCCCAAGGGTGACGGTGAGAAGGGGAGTGTACATACCACGGTCTGAGGTAGAGGAAGGCGGATGGGACAGGCCAGGCTTTGATCCTGAGAGCCCGCCCCAGGGGGCTGGCAATGAGGGGCCTTGGCCCCTGAAGAAGGCACCCCTTCGGAGCATGCCTGTTGTACCCCCAAGGGCACCTCAACACTTGGCTGAATCTTGAATAGCAAGCCAAGGGGAGGTCAGGCCCAACCTTTCTATACCAGCCCATGCCCAGCCCTTCTATACCAGTTCCGGTCCATTGCCACCCCTCAGCCTGAGGAGCGAGCTGGGGGCTCCCTCCAGGGTCCCTCCACTCCTACCCCCCGGTACTGTGAATGTCCTGGGACTCAGCACAAAGACAGATGACATATTTAATTCATGTACAGAAAGGAGCCAGCAGGCTCATGCAGAAACGCTGAATTTGACAGATTGATGCCAAAGATAGAGGCCTTCTCTGGGTCTCAGGAGTGCGGGTGGGCTTGTGTGTGTGTGTGCGTGTATGTATATATATAAAGTGGAGAGAGAGCTTGATTTGTATGTGTCTCTGAACCCACCTGGGCTGCAGGGGGGCTGCCCTCCACCCTCCTGCTGTATTCTGGGTACTGCTGTGTTTAGGGCCAGAGGGCAATGCTGGGTGTTGTGGGTGGCGCAGCGGAGGCCTGAGTCCAGTCTTGGACCAGGTCAGTGCCTGAGGGGTTGGACCAGGTCAGTGCCTGAGGGGTCGGCCCAGCCAGGGGAGCGAAGAGGGAGTCCCAGGGATGACGGGGGCTCTGCCGTTCTGGCTGCTGTAGCCAACCCTGGTGCTCCCCCAACCAAATGGCTCCCTGACTTCTTGGGAGGGAGGAAGATTCAAGAGGTTGACATGGGGGATGGCCAAGACCAAGGAAGCAAAACTAGAGCACAGACCTCACAGTAATTCTGGCCCAGCAGTAATTCCTATATACCTTGGCTCCACCTCCTGCCGCCCAGGCTGCCTCTTACCTTGGGTCTGGGTACAACCTCTTTCACACACGTCTTCCAAAGGTCCCAGCATCCTGCTCTGTTCTGATCCTGTGTCTAGATGTGTTCTCCCAGGGCCTCTGAGAGAACGTGAGGCCCTGAACCACACCTGCTGACCCCCCCTCCCCGCCCCCCGTCCTGTGGACTCATGTCTGGCCATACGAACTTTCCAATTCACTGCTGTGCTTGAGGGGCAGCTATTTTCCAGAGGAGGAGGCCGATATGGAGGTGGAGTGATGTCCCCAAGGCCCCAGAAGGAAGGAGTGGACCAGGGCCCGATTCTCGGCCTGCCTGTCCAGCAGCCTGGACCTCCTCCCCTTTTGGAGCCAGCTGGTCATCAAACTGTAGGAAAGTTTGCTTCGTGTGAGGTCAGGGGCCCGGAAACCCACTGGTGGGAACCGGAGTTGGGCCTTTTAAGCTGAGTTTGGGAGGAGATGGGGCCGAATGTTTATTAAGCTCCCTACTATGGACCAGTCTCTGTGGAAGCATCTCTTTGGTCCTCACACAGTCCACTTACCCCCACTTTGCAGGTAAGAACACTGAGGTTCCCAGGGTGAAAAGACTTGTCCGGGGTCACATAGCACATTGTAATCCCGGGTCTGTCTGCCACCCCAGCCCTTGATCTTTAAGGAGGGATGGGAGTTGAGGAGGGGAAAGTGGAGACAGTGTGGAGCCCCAGGGAAACAAAGGGGAAGGACTCTGGGCAGACATTAAGAGTCTTCCTGGGGTGCACCCGATCTTGGTGCCACGGCTTCAGGCCTTCTGTGACGGCTCATGTTGGGGACTTCAGAAGCACTCTGAGCTGCCCTAGCAGCCTGGGGGCTCCGCTGGGCCGGCTCACACTGTCGCGTTGTCAGTGTTCAAAAGCTTTCAGTGGAGAAATGGTGGGTTCTGAGAAGGGAGCTGGAGGGCTGAGTGGCTGGTGATGACCTGCCGGGACAGGAGAATTGCTTGGGCTGCCCCCGGGCTCTCCAGTGACCAGACTCCCCACACAGGGCCTGTGGCCCGGAGCCCTCTGTGTCCTGCCTCCTGGTGGCGCTCACAGGCTACTGGTGTCCGGGGCTGAAGCACCCTTCAGCCAGTCACCTCCCCTCCGCCTCACTCCTGCCATCTGCTCCTGGCCCAGGGCCCCAGCTGGTTTTTCCTTTCACGTGTCCACGGGCAGGAGCCCTGCAATGCCTGGCAGAAGGTCCCCTTTGCAACAGCAACGGTGCCCAGATCATGTGCCAGGCCCTGCCCCACCTCAGGTTCCTCAAAGATGGGCCCCGGGCTGGCTCTCCCTGCCTCGCCTTTCCCTTGCTGTGGGGTCCCAGCCACCCTGTTCCACGGTCTGATCTGGGCCCTGTGATCAGGGATGGTACCCGAGAGGCCACCATTTCCTTCGTCCTGCTGGGCCCCCGGGGCCAGCCAAGTGTCGGACACTGTTGCTAGGCCTCCTTTCCTTCCGCCTTGAAGCAGCTCGGCCCCTTTGGCCCTCCTTTGCTGAGACCCCTGCTTCCAGTCTCCACTCCACAGCATCCCATGAGCCCCTCTTCTCCAGACCAGCACCGTGACTCGGTCGCAGCCAGGCCCCATGCTGGTGGCAGGACACAGATGCACGGCCACCCTCGCCCTCCAGAATCCCAGCCCTGCTGGCAGAGGGCCTTTCTCGTAGCAGATTTCTATCAAGCACCCTCGCTGCGTAGGCACCGTGCTGGGCACCGAGGACAGGGCAGGGGACAGACCATCCTGTCCTCACTCTCATAGACTTAGACACTCAAATGCACAGGTGGCCCAGCGAGGGGTCAAGTGTGATGAAGCAGAATCAAGCAGGGTCAGGGAGCTGTGGTGGCCCGGGGTCTAAGGGGCTTCTCCGATGAGATCGGGGGGGAGTGGGGCATGTGCCCCCAAGGACAGAGGATTCCAGCGAAGGCCCTGGAGGGAGCATGCCTGAAGACAAGGAGACATGTAGCCCAGCACAGAGGCGGGCAGAGGCGGGTGCTGGCTCCCACCTCCCACGGGGCGGTGGTTCGGCACCTGAGGTCCACCAGGAGCGTCCAGGAAGCCCCGATGCCTGACTCCAGCTCATCCCTTCGCTCAGCCTCTCTGGCAGTAGGACCCGGCATCAGTAGTTTTAAAAGCTCCCTAGATGAGTCTCATGGTAGCCAGGGCTGGGGACCACGCAGGTGGGGTCTCGTGGAGCACAGGAGAGGCTCTAGATTTCTTTCTGAGACGGGAAGCCACTGGCCTCTGTTTTCTTTTTTTTTTTTTATCCTCACCCGAGGATATTTTTCCATTTTTTGTACAGATAGAGAGTGAGGGAGAGAGAGGAAGGGAGAGAGAGAAACATCGACGTGAAGGGACACATCGAGTGGCTGCCACCCACACGACCAACCAGGGCAGGGGACAAACTGCAACCGAGGTACGTGCCCTTAGCGGGAACCGAACCCGGGTCTCTCCGGACCGCAGGCCGACGCTCTAACTGCTGAGCCAAACCGGCCAGGGCTGGCCTCTGTTTTCAAGGCTCAGAGGCGGACAGGCCATGTCAGCCCCCGTGAGGATGGTGCTGGGGGGCAGGGGAGAAGGACATCCTCCCAGCCCTACAGGTACTGGAGGGCTCTGGCCAGGAGCGAAGGAAGGAGGGAGGCACCTCGGCCCACGTTGTGCTGGGAGATCCCATTTCCCGGGTGAGGGGCTGAGGCTCTGGAGTGAGGTACCTTGCCTGGCCACACAGAGTGAGGGGCCTTGTTAGAATTCAAACCCAGGTCTGCCTACCTGAGCAGTGCCGTGCTCCCCTCCTAGAACACCTTCCTCGGGGTAGGTGTGAACAGCTGGCAAAGGAGGCCCCACCTCACCTGTTGGCTGGATTCCTGGGGACTGGGAACAGCACCCTCACCCTCCACAAGCATGGCTGACACACAGCCAGTATGCACTGGAAGGGTGACCAAAAGTCACTGTGCCCCCACTCCCCTGGCATCACCCAGCGCCCTCCTCTAGACCCGCTGGGCCATCCCACCATCCACCAACTCAAAGGGCAGCGTTGGGCACTGGAGGCCCCGGTTCCTGCTCCATGCAGCGGCCGGCGGCCTTTCTGAGGGTCAGTGCCCAGCTTCAGTGAAAGTGTACCGACTCTCAGACCGGATG